CTGATTTGTCTTGGACACAGGCAAGGGGGGCTTTAAGGAAAAAAGGTTGGGAACCACAGATCTCGAGCCAGTGTTTGGTTTGTCCATTCTGGGCTACTGTAGAAACATGGCAGTTCAACATGGCAGACTTTGTAGAAGAGGACCCGCTCCCTCTGTAGACATAAATGGCTCATTCTTAGATAACAAAAACATAACAATTCTTATTTTCAGATGATTATACACAAATGAAAACATACCTCTGCATATTACATTCCATTTCTGACAATAGATCCTCGTAATTGTTTACCTTTTTGAAAGGTAAAATATTGTATATAATATGAGGTAGCCTGTTTACAAAAAACATCTACATTATGCTAAACAATGAATGACTCTAAAAATAGAAATAGTTCAACTGTGAAGGTCACAGACTAGTATTCCAGTCACCAAAACGAAATTTATTAAAATGACCAAATATGCTGATAATAATCTATGTTGTCCTGGAAAATTTTAATAGTATTTTAGCCCCTCACTCAGATTGCTTACCCACCTATGTTAGAGAAAGAATGTAGGCAACTGTAGCCAAACCACTAGAGACGCTGCAAAAAAAATGTCTTGCTAGTGTGGAGTGTCATAAATGCTGACCACCTATCTGTTACAAACCTGGGTCACTTCATTATGAATCCTGCATCATTAAAAATTGAGGAATAAAATTGGGGTTAGATGTTTCAATACTGACCTATCAGTAAATTATATGACCGTATTGTTAAAAAAAACTCCTCGGGCGCCTGGTTAGCTCAGTTGGTAGAGCTGGCGACCCAAGTACTGAGGCTGAGTCCTTGCTGCAGCGGCCCAGGGTTCGAATCCGACCTGCAGCCCTTTGCTGTCATCCCCCCTCTCTCTCTACCCCCCTTTCTTGTCTATCTTCGGCTGTCTCTATCAAATAAAGGCAATAAAAAGGCCCAAAAAAAAAGAACTTGGAAAACTCCTGCAAAATGTCCTATTAAATGAAGAGTGGGAACCCTGCCTTTAAGTTGTGTTTCAACTAACTAACTCGTTTCAAAAGTCTTGCAAGTTTACATACATTAGTCAACTAATGAGTTAATCAACTTGTGGCTGATTAGCATGGCATTAACTAATATATAGGAATAGTTTGTGCTTTGAATTATTTCATTTACGTATTTGTGTTGAGAAAATAAAGCTGCTTCGAAACATCCTTTTCAAGGGAAAGTGGCAGTGCAGGCAGAGGTCAGGCTCATCTAATAGACCTTTTTCCTGGTCCTTGAACTTGTCATGTTGACATGAACTAGTTATTACAGTTAGTTGACTTATCAGATGTTAGTGACATTAGCTTATTCTGGGCTTCATAGTTTACAGTTTTCACGTGTTGGAGAGCTTTTCAACCAGAGGATAGGGGCAACTATTGTCTCTAGCAGTCTCCTCAGGGGCAGACCCTGCTTCATGTGACAATAGTATGTGTGTGTGCAGGCTGCTGGAATCTCAGATCAAAGCTCTTTTGTTTAGTGTAAAGTATTGAACAGGCTTGACTGTATGAAGTGTTTACAGTTTGTCATGAGTCCAAATTTATCACTTCCTTGTTCAAAGGAAACCTGGAGCTGTCACTGGAGCATTCTTACAGCCAAAACAGAAAACTGCATTCTTATTCAAAATGAACTTGACCAGAACCAGACCACAAGTTGACCTGATTTCCTCATTAAACTGTCAATAAACACTAGAGCTATGTTCTAT